CTAATTCTCCTAAAATATCAAACGTTTCATTTAATCTTCCCCGATTTAAAAAGTATGGTTCTTTACAATTTGGAATTTTAATGAAACTCATTAAAATAAAAATGCTAGATGTGTTTACAGCACAAATCAAGGTTTGACACTCTATTTTTCTTTTGGCATACGTCTTTCAGGGTGCTTTCAATGGCACAGTTGTTTATTTAGGAAAAAACAAACAACACAAAAAATAAAAGCTGGTGTGTCAAAGTGAATTCAACATTTTTAGATGAAAACAGATAAAACACCTTATGCATGTTTGATTTCCATGTTGCCTTATGGCTGGGTGTGGACTTCTAAATGGCTAGATGTGGTCTGTGGGCCATAAAATGCCCAAGTCTGCTCTGAAGGAAAAATCTTTATTGATCTGCCTACCCTGAAACCACTAGGATTGTGGTGCTTCAACTGTGACGTCGCCATGAAGGGGTTTAGTTTATGGTAATTTTGGCTGACAGTTCTGGGGGAATAAAGTAACAGAAATTTCAGCTGGTACAGTTAGACGAAGACTAAAATCAGGCTTTTATAATTTTTTTCATCATTATTTGATCATCTGAAAGCCTGTTGATAGAGAACCATGAGTTTCAGTTTTGTCAAGCTAGATCCAAAAAAGATAACACTTAAAAATCATGATTGTTTGCATACATTGAAACTGGAAAGATTAAATCCAATTCAGTTTGGAGTTTTCTTTTTATATGCTTTGCAGCATATGGGAATTTGTGCAATGTCACTTAATTGTAAGATTCAAATACATATTTTTAAATAAAAAACCTTTAGAAGGTTAAGTAGAATTTCAGAATAGATTTACCCAACCCCCTCAAATGTGAGTTTCATTTAATTAAAGATGTGTTTTTGTGTTGAGCCATGTGTGCAGAATATTTTAAATTCCTTCCTGTTGGTATCTATCTTGTTATTCTGTCTGCTTGCTTTACTTGTCATACCCCTGCATCTGCAGCACAGAGAGGCAGGGTGAAAGAAGCATGGTATGTTGAAAACAGTGATATATGTGCAGCTGATTGAGTTGATAACCCCATCTTCAGGAGCAGCGGCTCCTGGAGGAAGGCCTGTTTGAGGAACTGGTAAGGTTGAGATACCTACCCCTTTCAGATAGTGCCACATGCAGCATCTCAACAGACCGGAAAAATGATTTTCAGTTTCTTAAAAGAACTGCAAAACTAACTTGTATTAGCTATATGTGTTTTTTTTTTTGTTTTTTTTTTTGGCAAAGCATTGTGGCTTAGTCCCTTTTTGTAAAAAAAAAAAAAAAGCTTAAAAGAAGCATTTGATTTTAAATCAAACCTATTTTAATAATCCTTAGCACACATTTTAGCTTTCTTCCATTTAAATAATGAAAACCATCCTGAAAACATCCTCCATATTAAGGAATGATAAACCTTGACATGTGTTCATACAAGTGTAGTGTTTTAGTGATTGCTTTTCTTTTGAAATTCCTACGTTTCTATTGTGTACTTAATTTGGCAAGATATGTAGGTCTTCATTTCCCAGTGAAGCGGGCTACAGAAATATCAGCTCCACTTAATTGTGTGACTTTGCAGCTTGTCTATTTGAAAATAGAGATCTAAGCTTGGCAGTGGGAATATTTGTCAGCTTCTTGTTTACTAAGTTGGAAGACGAAACAAAAACAAATTTCATATTTTGCAACTGTAACACAAATGGAGTGGGAGACACCCTGAGAAACTGATGGGCCAAACTAAACATACACTTGGTGTAGTGACACTGCAAAGCAAAAGCTTTGTTATCCAGTAGAGTCTGCTTTTATCTCACAGCTTTAAACAACAGGATGTTGTATTATGATTGTAATTGAGTGGGGGTTTGAAGGACCCAAATGCAGTGATGATAGGTGAGGTGTTTTTTTGCAAGTTTAATATTCAAAGAGGTCAACAGAAGCAAAAATCCACAACAAAAATACTGAAATCCAGGAAAACACACATGAACGGCAAATAAATGGCAGGGAAGTAGCAAAGAGTGCCTGAACAGAAGGAGTATATATGGGAGACAGAAACAATGGGAGGACTAATTGGCAGACGAGGAAAAGGTGTGGAAGGGAGCTAGGAGAAAGAGACTGACACAAGAGGGCAACAGAGGGTAAACAAAAAATACATAAGGACTCAAATAAAACAAAAAATAACTAGAATAACACAAAATGTAAATAAAACTAATTAAAACTCAAAGAGAAAACTTAACCAGAACCAAAACTATGACAATAAAACCTAATGTTATAAGTTTTAGTAAGAGTGCCTCATCCCTGCTCCTTGGGGTTTGGGAGAGGGCTATAACTTTTATTTTGTCTTATGGGTTAAGATGTGGCACAGAAAGGCCAGGCATCTGGTGATGATGATGGACAGCAACCCTCTCAGGAACTACAACATCCTATTGGGGGACTTCAACAGCAGTGTTGCAGTACTCAAGACTAGTGTTGGTCTTAAGACAACTTTCTTTACTGGAGTGACCATTTCCTTCTGGTAGGCAGGCACATTTTTTACTCAGACTCCACCCTTTCAGTGAATTACAGGGTCTGAGCAGGAGAAGGCACTTCTCCTTAGATCTTAATGACCAGAAATCATGACAGAAATAATATTTAAGTACAAAGATTGATATTTAAAAATGAACCTCAGGGGACCAGCCAAGGGCCCATCAAGGAAAGTAGGGAAATTTTGAAGGGCTACTATTTGTAACTTGAACTTCTGAAGAAAGTTCTGAATATGATATTTTGAACTCAATCCAAAGATGTCACATAGGCAGAAGGTGCAGAATGTACGGAAAACAAAAGGTGCCACAAATTGAATTAATTAAAAAAGTGGGAATATTTCAGTTTGGAAAAGAAAATACAAACTTAGTGTAACCTGAGATGAATGAATCACATTAATGAGACTATTTTATACTAGATCAATTAATAATGAAATCACATATTTTTTTGTTTATTTTTGGTGATTTTAAATGACATATTTTTCCTAATGGTCAAGTACTAATGGCCAAGACATTTTTTTCCTACCCTACAAATCAAAGATTTGTTTGCTACAAGAAAGCCAGTCATAATGATTTAGGTTTGCAAGATGATCTTGAGCTCAACTTCATGATGTGCTTTAGCAGGGGACGCAAAAAAAAGATCTTACAAAATCTACATTTTAAGGCACAAATGTATCTAATATTTTATTAAAAACATGAAATGAAGACTTTAGTCATGAGTAGTAAATACAGAAAGTTTCGTCTACTTTAGCTGAGAGTGTTTAATGTTTTATTTTTGTTATGGTAATGTTGATTTTTCAGGTTAGATTAAGGACTTGTGATATGTGATGTGTGGTGCTGGTCTTGACTCCTTCTTGTATTCCCTTGGTCTTAGCCCCAACTTGGTTTTTGTCGGTGAAAGTCTCACAGTTGGCACGGTTGGCTGGCCATGGTGTTGACTTGGTCTCAGGATAGGTGGCCTTGACTGCAACACTATTTAACACCCATGAGTGGAATAACAGTAATACCCAGAGGAGCGTGATCAGGAGGACTAGACTCCGAGCTCTGAATCTGAGTGCTGTCATAAATTGTTCAAAATTACCACCTTATTAAAGCATTAGGGTGTTCATCGGTTTATGGGGCACAAAAACACGGTAGGCCTCAGGTAGATGATGGACTTTGGAGATAGGGTGAGGAGCTCAACCATCCAGGAGGGGCTTGGTGTGGAGCCACTGCTTTTCCACATCAAAGGTAGTCAGCAGAAGTGGCTTGGGCATTTTTTTGAGATGCCCCCAGACATCTTCCCTGGGTGCTGCTCCAGGCATATACTACCTGAAAGACGCCCGTGGGCAGCACGCTGGGGGGACTGTGTCTCTCAGCTGTCCTTGGAGTCCTTAAGCTTTTCTGTAGAAAAGCTGGAGAAGGGGGAAGGGATGGAAGTCTGGGCATCTCTGCTGAGACTGCTCCCCCATGTGAATTCTTCAAATTATGATCACATGTATTAATGCCAACTATGACCATACATAGAAAATGTGATTCTACTCCCAAAAGATGTTGTCTTTTTGATTGTTCACAAACATTTTTCACAAAATAGTGAGAGATAACAAGAGTGTGACTGTATAGAAAGATTTAGATCAAATTAAGTATTTTTCTAGAGTTGAAAGTAAGATCTCTGTATCTTATTGCTTTGTCTTCATTCATCTTGTTCGATAGGCAGCCTGCAAGAATAATGCAGCTGCAGAAACCAGCTAATTTGAACAACAATAGAATGATGAGGAAAAAGCCCTTAAATCCATGGGTAATAAGTTCTGGGTCAATGGAATCTGGGGATCTCAGGGGTGTGAACAGTCAGGTCAGTAGGGAAGCAGACTGTGGAGCTGCTGAAAGTACTGGGGGGATGAATGAGACTTTGAGGCAGAGGGTGTTAATAGAATACATTTCTTGTGGGTGAGCTCGATGAACAGACTTGGCTGCAGGGCTCACATTTAATCACTGACTTGCACAAAAGAGCAAATATCCTAAAGCCGTATCTCCTGCCTTTGATACCAGATTGTTTTTAGGAATTAATACAAAAGACTATTATGCTGCTTTAGAAAGGATTCACAAACAACACCCATTGCCTCATTAATATATTCACACTGACATAACTTGACTTTTTTAGTGCTGCAGTGAGTCTTAAAACTGAAAGCATAATATTATCGTTTGTTTTTAGACCAAACACTCTCTGTGAATATTGCTCTTGGATGAAGTTATATTAAAAGAAAAAACCAAATGAGATTCTTGTACATCATAAAGTCGTACTTTTATGGCAGTTTATTTTGATGTTGCAAAAAAAGGAGACTCAGTTCAGGGTCTTGAACAAACAATTTATTCTCATTGTTTTTTATGCATGTAGCATTCCAACTATCCTGAAGCAAGTTTATGTCAAAAAATTTTACAACTCTCTGGACACATACTTATATCTCTTTCATTTCTTTTCTGTTTTGTTTTTTTTTCCTCCTCAGGCCCTTTACAGCTCCCCATGCTGGTTGGACCTTCCCCTGTTGGTACTTGAGTGAGTGGGCGCTTGACAGAGTTAGCACCTCGAAGGTGCTCGCTGCTGCAGGAGGTGTGACATAGTCCCAGCCCACGACACATTGATTTGTACTGGATTAAGCTATTGCATGATGCTGCAAGCAGAAGGCTTGGCACAGGCAATTTACCATTCCTGCCAGACCTAACATCCTCAGACGCCTCCTCTGTGCTTGGCTAAAATCTTCTAGGAAAGGACATCCCACTGTCATCTGCAAGTCTACTAACAATATCACCCAAAGGGATGACTGGAGTTGACCCTACACAGGTACAGTGTTTTACATATGCATTTTTCAAAAATGGGGCTTCTGTTTTTCTCTAGCAATGGGCAAGAGGCATAATGTACATTAAAAATCTAAAATCTGATGCTGTGAATATTTTCATTTGGGCTTCCATTTGTTCAAAGTGGTTAGAACAATTAAATGTTTTTATCATTCTGTTGAAATCCCAAAATGATATTTTTTTTCCAAATGAGATTTATGTGGAAGAAAAAGCAGGTCAAAAGCAACCATTTCACACTCATTCTCATTTTAAATCTGTAATAATTTTGCAACTTTGTTTATTTTTTTGTCTTTGTTAGCTCTAATAGTTAATGTTAGGGGATTGTGTAAACATCTAAGAGGATTTTTGCATTTACTGGTCCTATCTGAACACCTCTTAATTACAAATGTTGTAAAGGTGCATAACACAGGCACTTGTCTTGCAAAGGCCTGATAGGGAACCTGTAAGCTGTGAACATGGTCTTTGTGAAGCAAAACCAGTTTAGTAAAGCAAATAAAGAATAAAATAGATAGAATTATTATTTATTCTGTCAGAAAAAGGCTTCTTGATGATATAAAGGTGTCTGCGTTTTAAGAGTGCTCATGTGGATTTAGAAAGGACTTCTGCTTAGAGGGCTGTAGAGCTGAACATGAGCAACAGCTCATGAGATACGCTTTAAAATCCAAGCCTCAATATCGGCTAACATCAGAATCGCTTAGAGAGTTTGTCCCTTTAAAATGTAGTCAAAAGAACAATCTGGGGGGGGCATTTGACACAGATTTAATGACTTTGTTGATGACACACATCGTTGGCTTGTCCTGCAGTGCTGGCTGGGTTTTAAAAATTTAAAGAGGTGTAGGATATTTATGACTATGAATTGTGAAGGCTAAGAGGAAACAAAGAGGCAGCCCTTTGTTATGGTTTTAAAGAAGGACGTTTATTTCTGACAGATACCTTATACTCTGTAAACATTAGATGTCAAATAAACCTTCACTGTTTTCCGAGCCAAAGGCACACATCGACTTTTTTGGATATTATTTACATGTCTTGCTACCTAAGAATTTGTTTTGTTCTTAAAATTGATGCCACTTATTTACAGCACTTAGTTCCAGTCCCAGTATTCCATGGTCTACAGTAGTTCAGTAACTGTTTTAAGAATTGCAGGAAGTCATGTAGTCATGAGCGCTGACACTGTTTCTCTAAACAGGAAAACATATTTTGTCTCAGCTTCAGCAGGTCAGTTTAAACATGCTGTTCCAATGTGGGTTAACTCGGTTAGAAAGCTGTGTTGATGTTATGACAATGGATCCAGTAAAACATGCACAGCTTTATCTCCCATTTTTACAGATATTTCTGACGGGAGAAAAAAAGGCTACAGTCGTCAATAAACCCTCATCTTTCTCTGCTGATGGTGTCTCCATGTGGAGTTTGCTGAAGTGCCAACCTAATGTTTCTCTCTGTTTTGATGTTACTTTTGGATGATTCAGCTCATTACATATTTCAGCGTGGTTCCAGTTAATTGGGTACATGAAAAGGCTTTTTACCTGCTTCATAAACTCAGTGCTTTTCTTTGAACGTCTTCAGTTTCATAACAGGTTTTTCAACTGCTGTCTATGTAGCTTAAAACACAAGTTTGTGAGCCGTTTGCATGAAAAAGGCTGTTGAGTTTTAGATTTTGGCAGTGGAAAATAATCTACAAAAACAGCAAGTATCAGGAGGTGATTTTAATCAGGATCATTTAAACATTCTGAGCAGAAATCTGGTAGATTTCAGATCAGCGCACACAGATATACAGTATATATAAGTATAGCAAGAAAGATCAGAATCCAAGCAATGCTATAACAGGTAGATCAAAGAAGCAATTAATATAGTGGTTATAAAATTAATACATGAAAAAAAAGAAAAGAGAAGCTAAACTGGATAAATAAATTTGTCTAAAAAAGAATAACTATAAAGCTATGGCCATAAGGCTAACTTATTTAAATGTATTAGGTCAGCCTTATTACCAACCAAGCTTAGCTTGATCCTTTCCTCTACCTGTATCTCCCAGAATACAATGTGGCCCTGAAACAGAGTTCAGTGGAATTATTCATGATTTCATCAACATATATTTTATTGATATTGATCAGGTGTCTATCAGAATATCTCTTAATTTCCGGCCAAGCTCTGTTGGTACATTAGAACTAGAGAACAAAACTATTGGGGTAAAACAGAACTATATAAGCAGAGAATGTAAATATAAAATCTGTAAAATGTAAACTAAATTACAAAATGTTAAAAGCATTTTTCATCATAGTTTGTTCTGTGCTTTCATGGTTATCACTTTCTGTGAATTCATCTGTGAAGCAAAGAGAGGAGGGATGGATTGTTGTGTTTTTATTGCCTGCAATCAAAAGCAATTACATGCACTATAATGTGGGAAAAAATACTTACAGCCTTGTTAACCAGTCCATATCAAATGCAGAGCACAAAGACAAGATGGGGATTGAAGTGTGAATATTAACGGAGGCTATAAAAGCTAGTTGGCTTAATAATTTTGTAGAAATTCGAAGAGTAAGGTTGGATCTCTCTCGCATACAGGCCGGCATCAAATGTGTTTGCTTCCACTTGAACAGAACACAGTTTTTGGCTGATTCAAAAAGAGGCTGGAGGATTGCAGGCTGATTGTTTAGGACGTTGGCAAACCAAATGAGCCTTTTCCTTTTATTTAGAAACATCTAATCAAACCCTAATTGTTATGACCACCTGTGAAACCGAGGGTTGTTGAGTTTTGCTCATCTGTTCCCTCATGATAATCTCATCATTGTCACTGACTTCAGTCCAGTAAGTGGGAACCAAACCAGGAACACAGGAAACAGGGTGACAGATTGCATTCCATCAGATCATGGTTTCCAGTTGGATGCACATTATTGTTTGAGCCATGCTGCTGATCTGCAGGTTTTCTGCTTCCAGTAAGAGCATGGCATGGTGTCTTTGACACAGCCATTTAACTGGTCTTTTTAAAAAATAAGTAAAAAATGACTTTTGGCCTGTGTTTTTCTTTACATTGCCTTGTTTGTGTCTATTGAACTTTAAATTTCTTCTCATTAAAACAGTACATCTAGAGTTGTTTTTTGGATTTAATGAAAGACCATCAGAAGGTGGTCCATGACTGAAAAATAAAGTTGCTATGTCAAGTTCTTCTAAATGAAGTATGTAAATGTAGTTGTCTCCTTTACTCTATCAACCCTTAAATAAAGACTGTACAAGTGCGAAAGCTTAAAATTGATAAGGCACCTAAAAGAGATCCAAAACACAGGTTGATTGAATAGCTTTCAGCCATATTCTCCAAGTCTGATAACTACAGACAAGATTCATAAAAAAAAAAAAAACAGAAATTATTTTCTAAAAAGTCCCATAAACAGTGTGCAATGAAACCCTTTGGGGTAAATAACATGAAAGGTGCAACCTTCAGATGAGAGAAAATGTTAACTTTCTTTTAACTTTGTGTGCAGTAGAAACCGGTGATGGCAGCAGTATTCTGTGGGGGGGCTTTTCTCTTCAACTGGTGAAATAAGCAGTTGAAAGTTGAACGGAAAATTTACGAACCTGAATATTAATTTAAAGGGTTTGAGGTGGAGAAGAAGCTCATTTTCAAACACCACAATTACCCTAAAATAAAAGACAACACATAGAAACCCGATTAGAAATCAATGGCAAGACTTCAGAAATGCAGTGAAAAGATGCTGTCCATCCGATTTGTCTGAGCATGAGCTATTTTAAAGATTAACGTAGCTTAGTGTTGTTTTCAGAATTGCAGTTAAAAATTGTAACTGTATGACAATGGAGGTAACATAAATATCTATCTTTGGGTGTTTAACAAATAAACACTGGCATGCTGCCAGGACATACAGTACCTGTGTTGTTTTTTGGTGGGGTTTTTTAAACGCAGTGTTTCCTAATTAGCCTTAATGTGCTCAGTTACTGAGAGAGACCTGCTTGCCCTGTAAATACTAAAATGATGCTGGCTGGAGGCAGGATGTGTTGCAGATGCAGTCAGGTATGCTTTCCAAACACTGCTGCAAGAGAAGGCTACTAATCAGCAACCAGAGATGTCTAATTGGCGTATGGATGTGCAAGTGTCGGGGTGAATTGTTCAGTCAACCGAACAGAACACATTTAGGCTATTAAAATATGAGACAAATGCAACAGTAAGAAGAAGAGAAATTACTTTAATTTAATTCTATGTTGACTACATTTTTAAAATAAAGATCCAGCAGACCTCTGGGGGTTGAAATCCGCTTAAAGGTATAGCAGATTGCCAAATCTTGAAATTTTGGCTTCTCTAAATTTATTTCTATAATGTCTTAGAAATAATGCAGCGCAGTTTGAAAAAAAATTGGACCATCCATCAATAGCAGTGTAACTGGCCACCCACTTGCAGGCACTAAGCCATCATTAACTCAGCATAGTTTTTCATTAAATGATATTAAACAACATGATAGCACAGAAAAAGGCATTGGAGCCAAAATTTTAGTCTCTCCAAAGATAAGGCTGCAGTAATTCAAAGCTCTGGACTGTAATCGATGCTTCATAAAAAAAAAAGAACTCTAATCCTCTCTATGGTTTCTAATCACTAAAGAAAAGCTGGAAAAAAAGACCTTGAAATTTAGATTAAATCATATTTTCTTTATGTAAATACTGACACCAGTGTCTTTTATTTTTCCTATTTTGTGAGAAAGATTAATTTTCTGCTTTGCACATTAAGTGTTTTCATGTTGGGCTTCAAGCACACAAAATTAGAAGAAAAGAATCCTCCTGGGAGACCTCTGTTCAATAGCAGGTCAATTAAAACAAATTCCTCAATACCCAAGTGCTACAGCAGAACAAATGTCTTTTTGGAGAACAAATCTGTAAAAACACCAAGGCTCCAAGAGCATCAGGTGCTAACAACTCCTGCTGTTGGTGTAACACAATCATGAATCCCAGAATAATCCCAAGTGCTTTGATTATTTAAACGTAGCCAGACGTGTGAGTCTAACTTTTACATGCAAATACCTAATGATTCTGCAAAGTCAAAGGCTTCCAGGTTGGCCAGGTAGTAGAAGAAACATGTACATTCTTCTACTTTGTGCAAGCATTAACCTGAAATCGGATAAAAACATTGCCAGTAGTATCTCAGTTTTATCCATAAAGGCAATAGTCTGAGTGACATTCTCCCCTTCTCCCTTATGATCAGCCCCTTCCCTCCTCTGTTTTCTCTGGCTGGGGTCTCTGGATATATTTCTTATTAATATAGTGATGAATTTCATTTTATTCTCACAGGATTAAGAAAGGCAGCAATGGGCTGGACTATGACTCTGAAAGATGACTTTGGGGTCAGCGGCTGGACAAGGCACACTGGGAACTTCCTCAGTCTCTTCCTCCTCTTCTCATCGTTATTTTCTTTTCCAGCCCACTCTGACATTTTGCTTCCCAGAGCCAATCATTTCTCATGGAAAGCAGGTAAATATCTTTTATTAGCATTTTGCTAATTGTTGCATCAACATTCCCATTCACTTTCTTTTGTCCTGATATACATAAGTGTTCTTAATGCATTTTAATACCTTTTCAAATCAACACGATCAAATTTTATTCACATAAAATTCATAGGACGTGATCCTCAAAAGGTTTGGATGTATGAAAACATGTAAATTTGATACCACATGTAAAGCGGATTCACTAACTGGTGGAATACTAATTACTTGTATAAAAGAAGTGGACCAGCAAGAAATTATGTTATTTGTTTGTTTGTCTTCATGGTTAAGCTGACCATATAATGGTTAGCACAATGTACAAATCATTGCAAAGAAGATAATATATAAATGTATTTCTTCACCACCTGCAAGAGACTGAATCATTTTTGTTTTTTTGCTTTTAAGTTTTCCCAAAATAATAAGAGGCAACTATTTTGGGGAAAATCAGTTTTGGTGAAGCTATTCCTTGAACTTTAGTATTCAGTAGAAGCTACTTAACAATTATGTGACCTAAAAAGATAATTAATTTGGTTCTATATAGCTGTATTACACTTACAGTGTCTTAATATAATTTTACACCCCACTTTTTCACACTATTATTTGTGTAACAGTTCAAATGCTGTGTATCCTTTATTTACTACATTACAATTTTGCATAACTTTGTGTTGGTTAATCACATAAGATCCCAATAATGTGTATAGATGATTGGGGTTGTGACACTTAAAGAGTGAAGTTGCTTAATTTGTTTAAATATTCTAACTGGGAACTGTATGCTATCTGTCCAATATATTGTTGGATGTAGATTGTGAATTATGCTTATATCTTTATCAAATATTAGTCAGCTGAATCTGTAAAGATTGAATATTTGAACACAGACATTAACCAATTCAGATTGGATATACCATATAGGGTAGACAAGTAACTACTACTTCTAGAAAACAATGATGTCATGTAGTAGGTGAACTGAAAAAATCTCTTCCTTTTGACAGCAACACATGCTATAGGGAGTATAATCCTCCTTTTTCCATATTCAACATAGGTAGTGTTCATCCTAGTCAGTCTGACATCCTCAAGCCCCCACAT